ATTATACACAATACGCATTTGCTGCAGGGGAATCGATCATTGTAATTTAACCCTGTCACTGCCACTGACATAAGAACTACATCCGTGGCAACATGGAGCTGCATTCACACTTCTGGATGTGTTTACACTCCCTCAGACAACAGTTGGCTGTTATGTAGAAGTGATTTGGGCAGCTTTATAGATCACATCTACACTCCCCACACTTGTGCTATCTACCCCCATCCAATGTATAGTTTGGAGGGCTTTAATCAATTTTCAGGCCTAAAATATAATTTTAACGTGTATAAAACAAAATAGCTTTTTTTTTTAAAACAGCTCTAGCAGCATAAGGGTTAAAACACTTGCACCAAGAAGATTTCCCTGCAGTAAGGTCCCATTTACGCTATTGCGTTGGGATAAGGCATGTTATATGTGTTGGTGGATTAATTCTGAATGGCACCTCAGTGCACCTTATTGATGGACATGTTACATCACACCAAATGTGCATTGCCAGAGATGTTACCTTCGCCTTTTTTGGTGTGTTTTGAAATACCGTTCAAATGAATGGGCTGCCTTGGCACAATGCATGTTAATGGCATAAGCTTTATGGAAAAAATTCATTTTTAAAGTTCATAGAAATTTAAATCTTAGCTTTTACTATGAGAACAGACATCGCCTTTTAGAAATCGACTAAAACATGATTTTGTTGTAGTCTTTTGAGGATAATTAAGAATCAATTACTACACATTAAAGCTAGAGAGGTCAATGGTGGCTTGTTTTAAAGCTCTTTTACTGCTTGTTAAGAATATGTAAATAGTATATTGTCCATACTTTGGTCACAGGTGGGCTTTTAGTAGGTACCAGAGGATAAAGTCATCATTGTCTTTTGTGGCTGTATTTTGTGTCCGTGTCCCTTTCCACAAGGGACAACACAGGTACCATTGGCAAGTGGACTACCAAAGTATTTGGTCCTTATTTATGATCCAGCAAGGGGGTGCAGCACCAACACTTAGATTTCCAATGGCTGTAGCTACTGGGCAATGGTTATACATTTGATGGCAATATATGGCTACTCAAGTTCCCAAAGGTTATAGTCTTGTTATTAAATGACAAAAACCGTGCAAAAGCAAACTTTTATGATTACAGCTATCCATGCAGCTGGGACATATATATAGGTCATTCATTTTATGTAAGGGGAGCAAAATGAGTGGCTACAGGAATCATTACACAGAAAAATGAGTAAACATTTCGAAATGTATGAAATAAATTGTCAAATTTAGCTGCTAAGCAAGTATTTGGTTCATAAATTTGGTTGGGCCAAACAAATGCACATCTTAATTCTGCATCATCGACCATCATGCCAACAATTTTAGTAACATAGTTTTGGTTAAAGTGGAATGGGAATCTGGTTTAGACAGGGTATCTATTATTATTATTATACAGGATTTATATAGCGCCAACAGTTTGCGCAGCACTTTACAATATAAGGAAGACATTACAATCACAATACAATACAATTCAAGACAAGATTGTAAGACGGGCCTACAATCTATTGCTTTCCTAACCTAGAGAACTAAGATTGGATCTCCATCACTGAAGTTGACACCTAAGCACCACCACATTACTAGCCCACTTCTTGGTGTACAAAATAAGTAACTGCACCTTTGGTGGTGAACTTTAAATGTACATCTTTGGAAGAAATTCTATACAGTGCTGCCATAAAAAGCAGCTACAAGTTTATTTGCACGCTCTGAATCTTCCGGTTAGAACCATTTGAAATGCCCTTCTTCTAAAAATCATCCCAATATCTTCCGTCCACAATCCTTGGAGAAAGTTGAAGAAACATGGTTTACAGACTTAGCGCTGATAAACTTAACATTCATGGTCATTGTCATACTTCAGACTGTTGTGCCCTAGCTGAGCTCTAATTCTCTAGGTGTTGTTTTAAATCTTGCTTGAGAACACTGTAATGAGCGGTAACATAAAGGTTTTATTATAGCCGTCTGTCTATTAGATGCATTCTGAGTAATTGCTATTGGTTACTGACCTTTGCACCTATTACTAAATACCTTAAAACATAAGTGTGGAGCTAATCTCCAGACAGATGTAAAAGACACATTTTAATACAGCTCTATGTTTGTTTATTAATACAACCTTAAAAATGAAAGAATAGAGCAAGTAACCAACTTCCAATACCTAAAGAATTAAAGAAAACCTAAAAAACAATATTGCTAAGGTAAAGGAAAATTCCCTTGCAAAGTGAACAGCCTATTTGCCTTTCGCAAATCAAACACATTGTCTAACACTATGTCTAGAATGTCTCTAAAAAAAGAAAATAAAAGAGAACATTTGAACTGTGGTGGTACCAGCGGATATTGAAAATCAACTAAACGAACATGAGAATAAAGTCAGTGAAGCAAAACTACATCTGTTGAAAGGAATATTTAAGAGAAAATGGCCAGTGTTTTGCAATATCACAAGAAACGTGGCTGGAGAGGAGCTATGTAAGATTGTGAGAGACAGTGACATAAATAAAATAAAATATAAATAAAAGAAGAGCATGCTGGATAGATGACATCCAGGGAATGAAAGGCAGCCATGACATAAAGCAAAATATTACCTTGACAAAAGCCTAGGCCAAATAGAAAGCAAAGGAGGAAGCAAGGTTCCAAGTTTGAAGTTTGCCAAAGACTGCAAGCAGTTCTGGTAATTTTAATGGTTATGGTAATATATTTTTAAATGCAAAAAGTTTAAATACCTGAATTTGACTTGGTATCAGCCTTTTGAAGTCCTGGTACTGCAGGGCTCAGGCTGGAGGAGGGAGAAGCACAAGGAGCCAAACAGCTGTGCTGCAGTACAGAAAGTGTGCTGATAAGAGAAAAGCACAAAAACCAGAACAATGAGCTAATTGGTCTGCTGCTTCTCATAAAAGTGTCCGGTCATAAGCTTGGGGCATGGGGAAGACCCGTAAGTGTTACTCGAGCGCAGCAGAGAAAAATCAGGTCTCCATCAGCAGTCAGGGAAACCTGGGATAGCAATGCAAACCTCAGAACTGGATGGACAAAATGCAAATCTGTTGGCAGGTAAGACAGATCCCTTAATTGTATTTAATCTGTGTATTTTACTGTAGATGTCCAGTTTTGCCTGGAGTTCAGCTGTAATATAGATCAATCTGCATAACCTTCTGCAGAACAGAAATATCAGAGTGGATCCACAAGTCCTCGTACTAGCCTGTCTTTAAATGAACGTTTTCGAATTCATAAGTGCAACTTGGGGCAGTAAATGGTATTCGCATCTTCTATGCACATCATGAACTTTTCCTTATGAAACCATCCAAACAGTTTATTTTATCACTGTAAAACATAACAGTAGCTTAGTGCAGAGCATATCTATTATTGCCATAATGGGCACTTTTCAGCATTCCGCAATCTGCTTTATTCTTTCCCAGCTGACCCATATTTCATGGCTAAGTGGGGGAAATTGATTTAGAAAAGGTACTCCTGGTAAATGCCAGCTCATTTTTCATCTAGGCACAGGTATACAATATGTGGGTTTAGAAGAAATGCATACACTTGACTAGAACTAAATGGTTTTATGATTTCTTTCTCTCAAGCACTGTGCATGAAGCAATAGAACTGGCAGGGGAGAGAATGAAGCAGAATGAGGCGGGGAATGGATGGTAAATTATTCCATGCACGAGCAATATTCCCTCAGATTGGAGCAGATGTGCGCGTGACACAACGATATCTATCATGCTGACAGAAAGCTCAAGGTGACATTGAGCAGAAACAAAACAGCATCAAGCTGTCACTACACTCAAAGATGATAAGCCTTGTACTACACCAACTGTGTCCAAAGGAGTTGGTCCAGGGAGAAAGGTGTCCAGTTTTAATATCTGACAACTGTATGTATTTACTGTATGAGAAAAATCAGTAATTAAGTTTCCTTCCTCATCCAAAGTTGAGATGATTTGACTATGATGACGAATGTTTGTAAACACGGCAACCGATTCCACCAATGTCCTTTTAAATGGATAACTTGTACTTGGTATTTCAGAATAAGTGCAGCCTGAATCAACACGAACAGACCTGTTTTCATTCTCATGTTTAAGAAATGTACAGTCTAATCTTTACTTATATAGCATTGAATAGAGTGGGGAAGGGTTCAACCCCTGACACTTTATAATCTGCTGTCTATATGCCTTTGGGGAGAGTTCCTATCACTTTCTATCCTAAAGACTCAACAGGAAGTGAGAAATCTCCACAAGGCAAGGGAATTTACCTCTTAGACTATTGTCATCTGGAGGCAGCAGGATTCCCCCATTAGCAGATGTTCCATCAATTTTGATTTCCCATCACCTTTTGTCCTTGTGACAATGGTCAACAGGACAAACTGAGAGGGCAAATCTTCCCACCGGGGACACAGAAAACAATGAAAACTTGACAGAGGTTCTATTCCTTCATTGCTCTATCCAGAATTATGCATAATTCAGGCTGTACATACACTTTAATGGTCATTGACAATGTGGGCAGCTGTATAGCATGACATTTATTCTGTCCTATGCATCTGAAAGTCATTAAACTGTCTAGGCTTGGTTCTGACTAGGAAGTACCGGATATTTAGTTTTTACATTTTAAAAGAGATTTCTAATCAATATGTTACACTTTAGCTGTTGTTAAAATGTTGTTGGACTGTTTGGAGGTTGCAGAGCCACCCATGGGACTGTGCTTGTTTAGACTTTAGAACCTCTTTAAGAAGCATCCTACATTGCATTTTCAGCTACTAAAAAGCAAAAAAAAACTACATTTTTTAATATATTTTTTTTGCTTTAACAGAAATTGACATTTTCATATTTAACTTTATTTGTTCTTTCCTTTCATTTTTTTCCTTTCATTTAGTGCACTTACGTTCCAGAACTGACTCAGATATGAAAGTGATTACTCATGTCCTATTCTCCTTGTTAGAGGATTATAATGTAACTGCCTAATAATTGCCACTTATATATATTTTTTCTTATCTAGAATCTCCGTTGTGGTACAACTGGTGTGGTGACCTTTATTCGTGGCAACATGTTGCACGTGGCTTGGCTGGGAGACTCCCAAGTAATGTTGGTACGGAGGGGACAAGCAGTGGAGCTTATGAAGCCGCATAAACCAGACAGAGAGGTAATGTCCTCTGAGTTTTGTTTCTATATGAACATATCACATGTGTCCTATATAATGCCTTTCCTCACTAGGTTCAGAGGCCTCTGCATGCTCGTCCTTTGCTTGGGGAAGAATCTGATAAACCCCTGATTTGCCAAGAAAGCATTAACCAACAAACAACATGACACTTCTGCCCTCTATCTTTATCCATCATAGCTTATCACACATTTAGGAAACCAGTCAGTAGTCTAAAACTTTTTGTAAATTGTAACAATGGCACATTTATATGCGCCAGCAAAAGCTACCTTTAACAGCAAAAGATCTGGGTTTATCTGAGATGCTGACAAGTTATTTCTTCAACTTCAAAAGAATAGTAGAGGAGTTGCCCACTGAAGGAGATGGCTTGCCTAAAGCGTTCCTAAACCCAAGAATAATAATCTATTGCAGCTTAGTAGTCCTTAGATGTGGTGGCTGTATCAGTTTCCTTTTTTTTTTAGACTTTTGTTTTTCCCTTTATTTTCACTTGACAGTAACATACTAATCACTTCCTGTACTGTACTTGCTGTACTGTATTCTGGAAGAACAGCATTGTCGCCCCCTCTCCATAACATAGGGTGAGGTGTACTGTAGTTTACAACTGGAAGAACTAATAACATTGTTTGAGATAGCAGAGTACACAGCACAGCACTGAACTTCTGGTGGGATCAAAAGTTATTTTTGCACTGATCTGACAGATATATCAACACTTTCAATTATATTTTAACAGACCACAAGGGAGCAAATAAGAGGAGTTTGTTGTAAGGGTGAACATACACTTCAAAGAAATCTAGTTGGTATAAAGGGGAAATGCAGGAATTTGTTTCGTTATTTATCTGTTGTACACTATCAATTACAACATTTCTTCCATGTTGCCTTGCTAATATTGGTGGAAGGGTTATCCGTCCTAATTTTAACAGTTTAGGCTTGCTTATGAAAGATTTCTATTCCTGCTTATGTAGTTGTATTATTAACATCAGCTCAGCTTGACAATTTAGCTCAAGTTTCCGTGGTTAGATATCACCTGAATTTTATAGTTGCTAATCTTTCATTTGCATGGATTCACACACTGGGGGTGATTTACTAACCTAAACACACACACGCACGCACTAGGTGCGTGTGATTTTTACACAGCAAAATGTATTTATCAACCAAAAAGTCTCTAAAAGCATATTTCCACTAATGCCATATATGGAAAAATCATGCAGATGATGCATATATAATGCTGCTTCACAGTTTAGACAAAAATGGTTAGCTCATGCATTTACATTCCTGCATTCATCAACGCAAGCAACACAACATAGAGCTAATTTACACAACATCACCTTGCAATTCATGCAGGGCTTTGCACAACATACCTGCTGGGTGTGTACACACTACAAAGGTGTCTAGATTCCACCAATAGATCATGCTGGGAGGGAACACACTAGAGAGGTGTATACTTGTTCGTGGCATGTTTATAAGGTTAGTAAATCAACCCCACTGTCTCCCAGCAGGTCAAATAACAGAAATTTTCAGTTAAAAGAAATATAAACAATTATATTCAACCCTGTTGTGCATACCCGGAAATAATATTTGCCTCAAGACTCAGTTTTCAAATTGTGGTATAATTCCGCCATAACTGGTTATCATTCAAATGTATGCAAACCCTAACAATTAACTTATCTTGCTCCATTTTGGGCTTTTAAGTATACATTTTAAAGTGTTTTGTTATATTTGTTTGATACGTGCAAAAAATACCACTTGGTCTTTCTAGACTTGTGTGAGCTCCTAAATTTCCGTGCTCTCTGCAGTGTTATCAGCCCTGCCCAGTTCACCTCTGTAAACTATACAACAGCTGCCCCCTTAGGACAGGGAGTGTGTTAATGCTCCTCCATAGATATAGTACAGCAAGTGTTGTCAACCCACGACCAGGATTGTGTTACTGCCACAAACAGGTGAAAAGGGAAATGATTTTGCAGAAAAAAATAATGTAGCCACCACATCCAAGTACTGGTAAGCTGCAACAAATACATTTGTTCTTGGGTTAAGATGTACTTTAAAGACTTGTAATTTCCATAAGATTAACCCCTTCATGACTGAGGCCCTTTTTTCAATTTTTGCACCCATGTTATATTCCACATTTTAGGCCTGAAAATGACGTAAAACCCCCCAACATTATATATTTTTCTGAATGCCAAGACCCATAGAATAAAATGGTGGTAGTTGAAAATTTTTATGTTGCACAATATTAGCGCAACTCCTTATTAAACCCCAAAATTTAGTGACAAATTTAATTAAATGCCCCAAAACACAACAAATTACCCATTTTTTAAATGAAATATAAAAGATGAGGTTACAACGAGTAAAACGATACCCAACATGCCCAGTTTACAGAT